TGTAAATGCGGATAAATTTCAATACATGTTAAATCAAATTGACCGTGTATTAAAATTAAAAATTTAGACAATTTCCTTAGGAAAAGTGTATGAACAAATCGTATACTTCCGACATTTAGCATTGACTATATCGCGAATCCTCTTTGGGTTTTGCCTATGCACAGGAACGGTATAATATTTGCGCCGATGAAGATACATTTCTACGAGCCGCTGAAACAGCCGATTTTTGCGGCTTTGAGCGGTTATCCAAATGAAAATGTATATCTTTATAGGATCATATATCCTTTAAGCGGTAGATCCTTTAAGGGCTAGATCGAATTCTCAAAACGGGAAAACTACTAACGCGTGCAATCGTGTATCTTGCCGGTGCGGAAGTAGGTCGCGACCTAGCTATCAACGTGACCTGCGCCAATTCGCAATCCCCTCACAGGATATATGTACCTCATGCAGCCTTGATAAATTCGGTTAGACGGTGCGGCTTTTTCGTGCATGTGGATTCGACTCGGTGCTGTCGACCACGATATTTTGCTTTCGCAAAACGACGCAGCAACGACGGTAACTCGGGAAAATGGTGCAGTACAATGAAAGCGTATCTTGTATTTCTTTTTATTTTTCTACTCCTAACAGAAGACTTTCCCTCAATCTCTTCAACTTTATATATCCCTCCAAATATCTTCCAAATAAAAATGTCAAGTATAGAGTCTCGGAAGAGAGTCATTCTCAAATACAGTAATAAAGAAACAATATCGGGAGAATTCGAATTCTTTTCTCCGAGAGAAAAAGTCCTCCCTGAGGAATACATAACTTATTAAATGTAAAGGCACTTTGACGTATAAAAAGTATCTTTGCACTGGGATCGGGATCGATCTTAGTTGTCGTGCATTAATGGGGCACCTTTTCTGCCGATACTATCACGCCGCGCACGCATAACGATCTTGAATCTTGATACAGTTAGACGAAATGACTGGAAAGTACGCGGACTGTTGCGGCAGAATCTAAAAGCTGGTTTTCTCTATTTCCCTCGTCGACTTAACACACACGGCCGATGCGCCCGCACTATTATTTCGACGATTCAACCGACGTACAGCCGTCCTACGCGCGTTTTCCCAGCATGGAAACGGGATTAGACGTGGTGCGCGCACCATGGAAGGGTCGGTGAACTCGGTGGAAGTAAAAGTTTCGTACCGGCCGATTTCTATATTCGCGAATTAATTATTCGCACGTTATACAAAAGTGCACAGTATACGAAAGTGCCACCACTCTGTACTATATATGTATTATTTCCTTCCGTGCGGGATTATCTCGTGTGAAAAAACAATCATTCTTTATTCGTCTTTATCGCGTTGTCCAGCTTACATATCAGGCTGGTCTGATCCGCGAACGTTTATCATTATCGCCGGAACAGGCGTTGGTTAAATTAAAATAAGTATTGTACGATAGAAACATTAAACGGGGACTATGTTATTGAAAGGGAACAACGAAATGCATTGGAGAGCTAAAAAGATATATATTGCATATTAAAAGGAAACAAACGAAGACATCGTATATTAAAAGTAGACATATGTATATTTATATGTATGTATATTTGATCTAATGAAAGAAAAAATAGATAGAAAAGATTATCATTAAGGGTATACGTACTTTGTGTTTTATCAAAGTAGCAGTCTAACTTTTTACGCTTGTTTTGCTATTTTCTTTATTTTTGGCTGAAATCCTTAATATATGTACCTACCTGCGTGTCTACACATCACCCTGAATCTCTTGTTTCGCGAGAGCTTCTTGAAAACAGCCTTGTTTTTCACATTTTCAAATGACAGAATTTATCAGGCAGTCAACAATCAAGCTATATGCGATTCGAAACATAGTCTTGAATCTCTTTAGATATTCGTTATCAAATTCTGTCTTTCATTCCGCCGGATTCCATCTCCGCGTCGCTATACCGAAGTCTATTTTTCAACGACACGTCGAATCTCTAAAAACTTACTTTTTTAGAAATTTTTATTTGGATGTATCCAACTCGACTGTTTTATATTATATTATTCGTAAAAGTAAACAACGGCACAATGGCAATATTTCGAGTGCAGAGAATGCATTTGTGTACATCAATCTCCGTATATTGCAGAAAACTAAAATAACCAATGTCCTTCTGCATCTCGGAACTAGAAAGAGAATAAAGGAATGAAGAGACCGCAGAACTTTCTAAGCCATAACTACCCTCTATCAACGTATTGTACTTATACCTTTGAAACTATGTCACTCACGACCGAGATAATATTTAACGAAGTAAAAGCTTTTCATTATTAATCGTAAAATTATAAAATGCGTGAGATTATAAATGAAATACTTTTAAAACGCAGAAGCTAGTGTTTTTAATTATTCATTATTCATATACTGTTAATGTTTCACTCAACATCGTCTACTCCAACCGGTTTATTATTAGAATAAAACGTACAATCTTGACACCGTGAATAATATGACGTCAATCCGTATATTCCGATATATGATATTTGTCCTTCTATCCTCAAGCCATAGAACATTGACGTGACATTGATCGCTCCAGTTGCAAGTTATCGGTATTACATAGTGGAGGATTTTCCACATTTACAGTTCGTTGTTTAACACATGCATATACATATGTCTACAATTGATCTCGTAATGAGCGCTACAAGTAATTATGTAATCCTATGGTCTAATGGTACTGGATCTCTCTCTTTTTCTCTATGTCGATCTTTCCTGCAACACATATAAGCTTATTAATATCAAGTAACCCCTATAGGTGACTTCGACAATCTTAATCGCCGAATCCGGCAATTTGAAAGGGCAAGGGCACGCATCGCCGATCGATATATTAAAATGGAAAAATGCTTTCCCGTATCTAGTATCGTTCATGCGGAAAAATCACAAATACGTCCCGCACGCGAGGCTGTTTGTACATACTATATGCGAATATATGCACGAGTTAACATACAAGGTCATCGTTGCGTCCCTATAATAGAACGTTCGTCGCCGTTACTTGCGTAGACAGAATGATAAGCGCGACAAGTGAAGTGCAACGAAATGCATCTAGATGTTGAAGAATAAGAAAAGAATTATTGTAAAAATATTTCAACACACTCGATATTCGAAGATTGATATTCAAAAATTTGAAACGACATAATGCTAAACTTTTTTAAGATTTAGCAATAATATTTGCTACAAGTTTTTAATGCAAAAAATCAAATTTGCATTTCTTCATTCGAAGAAATAATATTTCTTCTCTAAAATACACAATTGCATAGAAGAATCTTATAAATCTTATAAATGATAAAGTGAAGAAATGCAGTATCTTTCTCAATCTTTATATCTTCGAATCCGAATATAAAGCGTTCGCTGTATTCTTCTACAATTGAAAATGAAGAATTTTATACCCGTGGAAGGAATCGAGTTTCTATGCAAGTATTTTTATAGCTGAAAGTTTTTATAGCATGAATAATTGCGGAGAAGAAATCGGGACGCATTATATGCAGCAGAATTTGATTCCTATCTTCGTATCGTAGACTTCATATTTTAAACGAGTTTATAAAAGACTGAATTCAATAAGTATTGATCGCGAGTGGTTTAAAACTTCTAAAAATTAGAGCAAGGATGGCCGCAATTCGCATCCCAACTTTGCGCGATTTAATCTCATCGACATTTTAAAAATGAGAATGAATCTTATTGTTGCATGTTGACGCATGATGTATGCGAACTCTTTCTTTATAAATAGAATGCACTGTAATCTAGTGACAGTTAAATAACTAATGTCGCGTCTATTAAGAGGTTATAGAGTCATCCTGACTCTATAAACGCGCAGAGCCTATTCGATGCCTGCATTTTTCCGCTTCCTTAAACTTCTCACGTGCCGCAATTGAAATAAAAATGTTACTGTAGTTGGATGAAAGTGGCTGTTAATGTCTATGCAAGGTGTGTCCACCTTAATTATGATCAACGTGTTATAAAGCAATTACGATCTTTGTGAACGATGGTGAAGGTACCACTCTCGAGACGGATTCGTCGTGGTCTGTTTAAATGCGATTATACCGTAGACACGAACGCCTACACGTGTTTTTTCCTTCTTTTTTGTCGAATACCAACACGATGATAATATCAGTAACTCACAGTCACTCAATAGTAAAGTAGTGTGTTTATTTTTTTAAATTTCTTTCAAAGTATTATACAGATAAAAATTAACAATTCATTGGTTTTTATTGAAAATGATATTAGTTATATTTAGAGATAAATAGGAAGAAAGTATAGCTTTCTTTGTAAGAATATTTAAAATCGACATTATATTATAAAAATTGATAATTATTATCCGAGTATCTAATATATTATTATCATCTAAACTTGAATTAATTTCAACTAATAATTATTATTGATCTTATATATTTATTACATCATTAGTGTAGAAAATCTTTTCTCTCTGTAGAAATATTTCAGTAGGATATATCGTTACAAGTAATTTTGTGAAACAAAATGCTGTACGAAGGTCTGTAAGTAAAGGAATACAAGTCCTACGAAGTTGTTTCTTCAACATTATTTTGCCACGATAGTCTTTCCGTAGTCGAACCGAAGTTAACTCCGTTGAGTCGTAGCAGCCGCGAGTTCGCTGAAACCGGTCGCGGTGTATTGTGCCATAATTGGGATCCGTATATTAGTACTCTCAGCATCTCGCAGGAAGTATCTTCTTCGCACTTCCATTGAGCATAAGACTTAAATCATAGGTTTATAAGATAAATTATTCGATAGATAAATAAGATTAACGAAATTTTTATTATTATATTTTATATCATGTAACTGAAATAAGTGAATGGATCACCGTGCAAAATTTTTACGTACAACTCTTATAGTTTCATTTTTTTTATAGCCTTTTTTTAATTGCAAAAACTCTACGTTTGCGTATTGCTTCTCGTTTTAATAAATTCTTTAAATTCTAACGAATTTAATGCTGTATCACGTTTAAAGAATACTTTTTCTTACAGCGGCGAAAAAGATGCCGGCGATAAGAAAGAGAAGGACAAGAAGAAAGGTGCGTAGCGTAGCCTATATCGGAAACTTGAGAACTTATCTATTCTAGCCGATGTGAGGCCTTCGTTAGCTATAATTATAAATTCAAGTTTATATTGTAAACTTTTTCCTTCTTTGTGTTTCATTTTCTTGCGATATTAATAATTTGAATCAGATGTTTATCGAAGATCTTCAAATAACATATATATACTATACTCGTATATATGTAGATCTGAAGAAATTTCTTATTTTTTTGTCGAGCAATAAGAGCAGTGTTTTTAGTCAAATAATGCTCTCATAAAGACGACGAATAAAATAACGAGTATTTTTCTTAAATTTCAGAAAACGCCGTCCAACCACATTGTCACATCACGCTAAAGTGTACACGCGAGGTGAGTGACTCCTTTCGGCTTGATCTTAATTTAGACACAACCTTGTGCAAGAGGAAAGAGACTGCGATTTATCCGATAAAGACAGGTTGAGTGCAGCGAGTAAGAAAAAAAAGAGCAAAAGATACTAGTAACAAACTGTTGACGAATCTTGTATCTACCTATACTTAGATGTCGTAGCGAGGTAGTGGAATCATTCATTATCCGTTTCTAAATTTACAGATCGCTGGCTTCAATGGCCTGAGCGACGCCTTGAAAAGGCTGGATTTCCTATCCGCGGTACACGATTGCCGTCGATTCAATTACATAGTCCGTCTCCTGGATCTCTTGGTCAGTCACAGAATGGGCGGTCTTAGTGGATGCGCGCAAAGAGTGCTCTTCAATATGCTCGAGGAAGTCGCTCTGGAAGGTAAAAAAGGGTCTTGTTCTTGCAAACGCTTGTAAGAATCTTTAAATAATCCCTTGTGAAATTTATCTAGCAATTTCATGATATTTCTCTCTCTCTCTCTCTCTACTTGCCAACATCTTTTTTTCCTAAAGAAAGAGAAAAATTAATTTTAAGTTAATCGTGCTGAATTGATGGTTGTTTTAGTGTCATTGTCGCAACAACAGACAGGAAGATTGCGGCGTCTTATAGAAAGAGTTCGAGCCTTCAGCGCTGGCTGCTGCTGGGGTGGCAGACCCTTGGGTTCCGTTATCCTGTGGGAGAAACATAAAGCAGCTCTGGAAAGAATATTGCAAATCGCTTCATCAATCACTATTACCCAGGTAACGTAATAAAAAATTACATTAAAGTTAGGATGGAGTGATTTCAAGGAAATTCGTGATAAAGATTGATCAATAACAAACGAGTTATTATAGCCGGACGAGGAGCAGCAACCTCAATGGTCGGATCTGCCGCCTGAGTGCCGTCGAGAGATCCTTCTACGCTTGAGCGACCCTCGAGACATCGAAGCTTCTTCCGAGGCGTGCGAACACCTTGCCGTTCTAGCGCAAGAACAGCGAATCTGGCGCGAACTTGCCCAATATCATTTTACGCCACAGCAAATTGCTACCACCAGACAGAATAATCCGGGGAAAGACTGGAAAACCATATTCACTATCGCTCGGAGGTACGGCTATTCTTTTATTGAATCGAGATTAGTACAAACATCAGTTTAGCATTCGTAACTTTTAACATTCGTGACATTTGTCAATACTATATCATACGTTTTCCACGTGTCATTTCTCATTCTGCTCAGATTGTTCGGATTGCGAGAGGAATACGCCGAGATGATACAGTTATGCCGTAATTGCCGCTGCTTATTCTGGCGGTCGCTGGGTCATCCCTGCATCGCAGATCAGGATCCCGCGTTTCAAGAGAAACTGGCGGACGTCGACCAAGCATCTCTCCATGTGCCGATCCCTCCGCAGACCTTTCTGAAATTTTTCTCGCTGTGAAAGCTTTCGAGACACGATTATGTCGTAAGAGCTCAGAATGAGTGGTGTATGTGCGGAAAAAAGCGGAAGCTGCTACGTAACTGCCGCTATGAATGATTGTTGCTTGACAGGATAAATGCTATACGTATGAAAGAAAATAATAGAATGACATTTAAAGATGTTGCGCTGCATTTAGAGAGACTCTAAAACGTTACCTTCTGAAAAGATATATTTAACTCGAAATATATTCTCTATTTGTTCTCTCAATATACTGTATGAACCTGAAAGATAGATATCGGTATTAGGAATACGTCCTTTGAGAAATTCGACGCCGACCTTAATAAATATCCAGAGGCCTACTTATCTAATGAACGAGCTTGAGTATTTAAGAGGCTCAAAAGCTGCCCAGAGCCAGGAAAACACAAAGACACGTGTGCCTGCACAAACGCCACACGATATGTGAATCAATATCTTCTGAAGTTCTAATTTTAATTGCTTCATAATTAACAGCTCA